CGAGAATAGCCGTTAAATTCTCATATTGTATCGGTCAAGGATAGCCGTATAAATCCTTGGGTAAAGGTTCAAGGATAGCCTTTGAAATCCTTGGGGGAACGGTAGAAGATAGCCGTTAAATCTTCGTTGTAAACGGTTCGAGATAGCCGTTGTGAAATCTCGGAGTGAATCCTATTGGCAAGGGTTGTTTGCCAAAACTAGTGCGGTGCTTTGACGGAGTTCAAGAGGCCGAGACTTAGTGGATTCGGAAATCCTTGAGGAGGAGCCTCGAGGTACTGGAGTAGGGGTTTCCCAAACCAGTATAAATTCGGTGTGCATTTTATTTACGCTTTTATTTTTGCGTTTTATTTATTGCTTCCGCATTTTCCAACACCGTTTTTATTAAACTCCGAAAAGTTTTTAAACGCCTTATTCACCCCCCTCTAAGGCGTGGGCACAACGATTAAACCGACTAACAATTGGTATCAAAGCGGTTTCGTAGTTGAAAGTGCTTAACCGCATCTACGACAAAGATCCACTTGTTGTGTCCCTTTTTAAATTTGAATTTTTAAATCTCAAAATTTTATTTTCCCTAATTTTTTAAAAATTCAAATTTATTAAAAAATGGCTCAAATGGATTCCCAAAGCATTCACCGCCCTCCGTTTTTCAATGGCCAAAACTATTCCTATTGGAAAATGCGGATGGAATATTTTATTCAATCAATAGATTTTGATTTATGGTTGAATATACTTCACGGGCCATTTGTGCCGAGTAATGGTGATTTTGCAGGTTTGTCTTCGGAAGACAAGAGAAAGCTATCAATGAATGCAAAAGCAATTAACATTTTGCATTGCTCTCTTGGTCCCGACGAATTCGCACGTGTTTGCTCTTGCAAAACGGCTAAAGAGGTGTGGGATCTACTCCAAGCTACACATGAAGGAGACACCTCAACAAAACAAACCATGATAGCCCTCGGGAATTCGGAATACGAATCTTTCAAGAAAGGGTCATGTGAGACAATCCAAGACATGAACAAGAGGTTCAACGAGATTGTCAACAAATTGAGTAAGTTGGGTAAGACGTATACTACTTCCGAGCTTAATACGAAAATTCTATTTTCTTTACCTAAAGAATGGCATAGTAGTATAGTGGATTTATTACCCAAATGTGATAAGGCCGAAACCGCCCACATTTGGTCTTCCTTGTATTCTCACGAGCTTTTGTTGAGAAAGATCAAAGAGGAAGAAATGCGTGAAAATCCAAAGCTTACCAACGCCTTCAAAGCTTCAAACGACTCATCTAGTGAAGAGTCAAGTGAATCAAGTGATGATTCAAGCAACTCAAGCTCTACGGAAGAGTCGGATGATGAAGAAGACGAAGAGAAGGCAATGAGAAATAAGTATACGGATTTCCTCAAATGGAAGAAGTATGTGAAGAGGAAAGAAACATATAAAAAGCCAAAGAAAGAGCGACATAAGCCAAGGTAAATTCTTCTCACTTATTGGGATAAGATATTGTTTTGTTTGGTTTTAATTATTTTTAAAAATAAAACCTTATCCCATACGTGCTTTTATTTACTTTAGCCTTGGTTTGCATGATTAATTTTTTTTTAAAAAAAATTCATCTTTATATCATGTTTTTTAAAAAATAATCCCTAAAAATCCCTGAAAAAATTAAAGTTTTTAAACTTGCATCATTTTAGGGGGAGTTTTCATTTTTAGAGGAAGTTTCGTTGTAAATGCACCTTTTGCCAAATGATCTCAAAACTATCATTTTTCCTAAAAATTCATTTTGATAGGGGGAGGGTTTCAAGAAGTTATACATGGTTAAAATTTTCAAAATGCCCTTTTTTATTTAGACAAAAGGGGGAGAAGATGTATACTTCAAAGTGGTGCATATGCAACTTGACTTGAGTGCATTCTTGTGTAAACTTTTGAATCAAACTTAAACTTTTAATAAAAACAAGAAAAAGTTCAAAGTGAGTATTTTCAATATGCTTGTTCTTAGGGGGAGCTTGCTTGCTTCAATATTTTACTCCCGCCTAACTCACTTTGAAGTATATTGTTTGTCAACATCAAAAAGGGGGAGATTGTTAGCCTTGGTTTACTAAGCCTCATGCTTTGATGTTAACAAACAATATAAGAGCTTAACGTTTGTTTAAGTATTTCAGGAAAACAAGAATCCATTAAGATTCGGTACTCAAGAATGAAGTCGAAACACTAAAACTAGCGTAGAATATAGGTAGAAACCAATGTAAGGATATGACTTTATATACCTATATTCACAAGCTCAAAAGCACTCACAAAATATGTTTAAAACCATCACATAAACATTTTCAAATATCTAAAAGGTTTTAAACTCAAACACGAAGGATTAAGGGAATTTTGGAAAAATCAGAACAGAGTCACGGTACCCCTAGCGGTACGCCACACGGTAGGGTATACCGCCTACACGGTACCCCCATACCGTGTAACGGTACCTAGGTACCGATGGTAGGCGTAGACGGTTGGCCGAACCCGTCCTAACCAGGTACCGCCAGAGGCGAACTGAACTTTTGGAAGACACGGTACTCCCACACGGTAGGCCGTACCGTGTCACGGTACCTAGCTACCGGATGACACGGACCCCCCTACCGTGAAGGGTACCGGATCCGTTACAGCACTATAGCAAAATTGCCAAATTGAATTAAATCAACCCTAATCACCTCCCAACGGCTAATTAACATCTTCCACTATAAATACAAGCCTAATCCTTCATATTTCTTCAAGAAACAAAGCTCTAAACATCCTCCCTTTATATTCTAAGTGTGTTCATTCTTTTATTAATTATTTTCAATATTTTGGCTATTTCAAGAGCCTTAACTTCCTGATTTTTATACACAC